TGCTTGGGGCTCGTTGGGAGGCGTAGTGCATCCCTAAAGTTGTACACGGATACATCTAAAAGAACTACACTTAACTGGATGTGATGTTACTGGTGTATGTGAACATCCATTTTTAGTTCTGCTTGCTTTTCTACAAATTACTAGGGGCCTCAGATAGAGGGAGATGAAAATCAGGAACACGACAGATGCCATGAGACTGTTCATACTACGAAGACACAAAAATAAACCATTTAGCAACTTCATAGACATGTAGACGATAGGAAGGTGCCAATACCGAATAATGTTAGAAAGTCTAATTTCCTCATTTTCAACAACGTAACTGGCTTAATGGAGAAAGAGAAAAGATTACGCAGGATAAACCTCTTTACTAGCATTCTTGATGGTTTCACATTACCTTCTCATGATCAAACTCAAATATAGTCATACGTGTCCCCTGCAAACAGCCCTTACAATGGATGTGGTTGTCAGTGACCGCCTTGCCCTCGCTCTCCATGTCAGTGGTAGCTGCCTCTTCTGGCCTGCTGGCAAAGCCACCTGATTTGCTTCATTAAATATTGGACCAATTTTGTAATTGGCTAACTAAACTAATTTTGACCAAACAAATCAGAGGCTCCTGAGTTTACCAGAAGATCTTAGGAGGCTATAATCTCCTGCAGGAAGGTTGAAGTATTTCTTCCTGGCTAAAATACTGATAAGGAAGTGTTTCTTAGAAACATAGAGAGAAATCTGAGTCTGAAGAAGAGCAGTAGAACATGTAAGAGTTCTCAAAAATGTAACCTGCATGGAAAAGTTGAAGTACTTACATTTCTTCAGCTTCAAAAAGGGAAGACTGTGGACATATATGTCTTCAGTACTTAAAGATTTGTTATTTGTTATTCAAATGATGATCAGTTCTTGCTTTCTGTACCTACTAGTTTAGGGCATTAAGAAATTATCTCAAGTACCAACAAAGGAGTTTTGTCTTAGATATTAGGAAAAAAACCCTATATACCTAAGAGGTTAATAGATTAAGCTACTTATGCTGTGAAATCTCCTATACTGAAAGCTTTTAGGAACAGCTCAATAAGTATGTCAGGCATGATGCTTTGCATTCTGCACCTCCATGATTTAATACCTTCTTTTGGTACATACACATTGATAAAAGTACACCCCCTGCCCCCCCCCCCAAAAAATACAGGGAAATTAAATAAATAAATAAATCAAGAAGTTACTCAAGTAAACGTAATGCTACCCCCAGATGATAAGAAGGTCAGAGGTCTGTCCTGAACACACAACCCAGATGTTAAAATGCCCCTTTTACTCTCTGGTACAAATGACATGAGTCAATATGCATTCATAGATCTCTTGATGTCAGCAACAGTTTTACCATTCATTTAATGAATTTGGATGAGTGAGAAATGGCAAATTCAATCAAATAATTTTTTTCTAGGTTTTTTTTGTATACTAAGGCTATCTCCATGGTCTACATAATATGATCTGAGATTACAGAGGTGACTGGAAGAAAGACAGTATGAATGTAAATACAGAGAAGCTGATGAACTCTCAGGATTATTTCAGAATCACAGACATTACCTTGGGAATTCTTCCCTGGGAAGAATTTTTGGGGGAAGAATTTCTTCCCAAAACTTTCTATGGAATTGTTACACTGAGTCACCAGAAAACTAAGTGATTAAAGTTGAGTAAAGAATATGTTGATGATTTGAAAACTTGGGAGAGAAAACATTTACTTCTTGAAGGTTTTAGAACCGCGTCTGACTTAGGCTTTCTGGACACACTAGTTCTCATACTTAGCCCATTTCTAGTTTTAGGGAAGAGGTAAAGTAAGAACTAAAGTAAGAACAACTAAGTGATGTTGTCTCCTTTGTGGGCCACGAAGTTCAGGGGTCCTGTAATTTAAGAGGATAGTTTCACATTATTGCTAAGCTGATCTAATTGAGAGCTGCTGCTGAAAGGGCCACTCTGGTTTCTCACCTGCCTCTTCCCTCCTGTCCCATCCCTCCCTCCATCCTTAACCTTTTTTCACACGAGCACTGTTACTCGTCAGACATCACAGCAGGATAGTCAGAGGAGCTAGGCTGGCAGAAAATTAAATCCTGCAGTTCAGCAGAAGTGGTCAGACAAGCACTACTGCCAGTTCAAGAAGAGGAATGCTCTCTTCAGCAGCAGCTAACCCATACATTGATTTATCTCTAATGGAAAAACTGTGCTCCTAAGATTTGGTTATACAACCACTGAAATCCAACTTGAAACCGTAGTGCCTCCTGCCCTGCAAAGAGTTCTGCCCACCTCTTATTTTTCCCCTATCTTTCAGTCCTGTGGGACTGGGAAGAGAGAATTGTCCTTTTTGGTGTCTAAGCACATCGATGCTAGATTTAAACTATGGAGAAAATCCCACCAGATCAAGCTGTAATCCATATACCAAGGGCTAAGGACAGGTCTAGTTTCAACTTCCACTTTATTTAGGATGCCATTTCTGATCCACTTCCCCAGCTGTAGCTTACTGTAGCCCACATATAAAAAGCAGTCAGGTGATGTCTGAAAGCAATACAGTCAGACATCAGAAAAGCATAACATAGTAAGATGAAATTAGCTAGCTGCTATTCTCAGAAAAGCTGTTTATAAAATAACTTCAGCATCTACAACAGTTGCTATAGTTGGATTCACTGCAGAATTTTCCTGTCCCAGAAACTTTATTTTTTCTATACACAGGCTTTTGTGGCCACAGCACAATGCTGAGAGATTCAAGAATTGTACATCTTCCCTCTACCTTCCCCACTTTTCTTCAAAGTGCATAATCAATGATATGTTGGCCCAGTTTCCAGAATCATGTCAGGATTCATTCACACTAAAGCAGTCTGCCATTTCCGTAAGAGAGGAACAACAAAAAGATGCCTGCTATTACAGCTTTGTGGGTATACATTATTTATTTTGAGATATTTAAATTATTAATTAGGATAATTCCATTTTTGCAACAGAGTCTCTGCCCGTTAGAGGAAACGGGCCGCATTCAGTAGGACTTCAGCAGAATTCTGCATACACTCAAATAAGCATATTGCCACTCCGTACCTGCCCACAGGACACTTTAGCATCACCTTTACGTCCGTTCAGAGTGATAACAACATAATGAGTGACACAAACACTAGGTCAGGAGAGAAAATACTTTTGCTTTTAAAACTGAGATTCAGCAGCCAAGGTAAGGAGGTACACTCAACTACGGCACGCGATTGCCTTACCGCGTAATAGCAACTAGCTACAACTTGTATTTTACAACTTACATACTGCAATGACAGTAGTAGCATTTTGATGTTGAAAATTTCCCTGTATTAAGTGTAGCTGTGGTTAAGACTCCAGGAATCAATAACACGGCTGACACTGTCCAGAAGAAGATATCTGTGATGGATTACAGCATTTCGGACCTCGGTAGTCAAAATGCTGGTTCAGGTATTGTGCGCCCTAATGTTTGATGGGAAACGATATCAGCTCCTTGACAGCTACTTGCTGTATCTGATGACTTAATGCTGAAGATTGGTATTCGCAAGCTAGCTTATGAGAAAACACATGTAGTTTATAAAGCTGTTTTCTCTGCTGCAACCCAACAGGCTCCCAAACTCTATCACCCAGTTGCCGTTGGTCCTCACGGAGAAACTGGGTCACATACTGCCTTGCCTTCTTCTAGCTGCGAGATGCGATTGAAAACAAGAGAAACCGCTAAAACAGGTGGAAATCAACGTTACGCATTACCTTGCCGAGGCTGCCAGGGCGTTAATGCGGCTGTGAACGAGGTCTGTGCCGCGGCGAGGGCAGCGCACACACCTCCTGCATGAAGCCCGGCCCCGGGGGCGCCTGGCAGCTCCTGCCCGCCGAGGAGCACCCTCCCAGGGCCCGTCCTGCCTGAGGGGCCTCCTCCAGAGCGACCCCCGCCGCCCCGAGCTCTCACCACGGGGCCCTTTCCCCGTCACGGTTCCCCCCAGCTCAGCTCCTCCAAGGGGGATTCCCTCCCCGAGAGCGCCGGGCCGGTGCGGGGCCGAAGCGGGATGTGGAGGAGAGGGGGCTCGCTAAGGCCTCTCTGGGAGCCACTGCGGCCGAGTCCTACCTT